GGGCCCCAGCTCTCTCCTCTTCATCCTATTACTCTGCGCACACATACCCTGGGAGCCAGGAGGCCTCCAGCCCTTGGGAAGGTGGCAGGAGGAAAGCTGTAGAGACTTGACAGAGCAGCCTGAGGTACAAGCTTCCCCCCGGCCCGCACTGGGTTTCTGCAGCCCTGAGAGTGGGGTGAGGGGTAGACAATGGCCACAAATCAGGGGAGCAGGAGGGAGGAAGCTTGGCATGTCCAGGGGCCAGGAGTTGCTCCCCAACCACTGTTTCTGCTGGGATTGGTAGGTTCTGGGTCTGACGGCCCAGAAAACACAGTGATAGAAGGACCGGGGACCACAAAGGCAGAAAGCCCCAGAGGGAGGCCCAGGATTGATGGCAGGAATTGGTGGTTTGACCTCTCCATGCTCCATCTCTGCTGTTGTTTGGGCCGCGAGGGAGTGGGCTCACCTGGATTGGGGCTTGGTTGCTGCCCTGACATCGGCCAGTAACTCTGGGACACTTCATGGGCCTCCGGGCACTGTATGCTGGCATCTCACAGCTCTGTGCTAAGGCTACGGATAGACAGCAGGTGACTGCAGTACCTGCTTGTGCTTTGGGGGAGAGAGAAGCCAAACTTTGAGATGCAATTGTCCTATCTAGAAGATGCAATGAAGGCTTCCTGGTGTAGCCTCTTGGAGCTATGTGTTGTTTACATGGACGAATGGAAGGTCTGTTCCATCCAGGGCGAGGCGTGAGGTCTCACTTCCTCTGCATGGGGTGGGCAGGGACACAAGGGCCGATGCTAATGTCTACCTGTGTTTGTGTGACTGCAGCTAGAGGGCAGCTCAAAGGACAGCAGTGGTCCACCTAGAAGTCCTCAGCCTCCTACCAGCCCTGTACCGTCAGAGACTTCCCAGAGAGCCAAGAGCCCTGCACCCACACTCGCCATGAATGGCCTGGGGGCTGCCTCAGCAGAAGGCCCAAGTGAGGAGGCCCAGGGCCTGTCCCGGAAGAGAGTGGCAAACGCAGTTAGGAAGGTGGTGAGCAAGGTGCTGCCTGGTGAGGAGCCTGGGAGTGCCAAGGAGCCTTCAAGCAGAGGGGTCAGGTCTCCTGAGCACCCAGCTCGAGGCAAGAGGGGAGAAAAGGCCCCTGGTCCCAAGCCACCACCTCCTCCACCTCCCCCTCCTCCACCTAAGCCTGAAGCAAAGAAGGAGGCAGCCAAGGATGAGCTCTCTGTGGGTCTACGGAGCCTGATGTCTCGGGGCAGGGCCAAGGACCACAAGCCCCGTGGCAGGCAGTCTCCTGGGAAGGGGGAGAAGCCCTCCAGCCAGGAGCCAGGCTCCTCAGGGAAACCAGGCTCCCCGGCCAAGCCTGGAATCCCAGAGAAGCAGTGCTCCCCTGCCCCACCGGAAGAGCTGGCGGACCCGGGCTCCGCTGGCCCGAAGTTGAACCTGACTGGATTGCCGCAGTCCAAGTCACCAGCCCCTGACGTGCAGCAGGAGGTACCCGAGTGTATCACTAACCTCCCACGCCCTCACCACCCTCGTTGGAAGGCCAGGCACCCTCGCAGCCAGCTTCCCCGGGCCTCCTCAACCCGCCCGCATGACTGAGAAGCTGGGCCTGGCCTTGTGCCCGTGGTGGGGCTGCATGGCTTTTCCTTCACTGAACACCAGAGTCCATGGCGGCCCCTGCTCTGGGATGGGCCCTGCTAACCAGCATGCTGCCGTTCCTTCACATTCCTGTGTGGGATTGGGGCCTGGTCCCAGGCTGCGTGGTGTTGGCCGAAGGCTCCAGATTCCCAAGCAAGGGTCGGAGTCTTAGCAGATCAGTGCCAGGGGAGAAGGAGACTTTCTGAACTCAGGTGACCCGTGTTCACATCCCCGGCTACTCACCCTCTGTGGGATCTCAGCATGGTCCCATCGCTGACCCTTCTTCATCTGCCACGTGGGGATGGGACAGGTCTGATTCCCCCTCTGAAGCCCTTGGGTATTTTGCAAGTTCATAATTTCTGTATTTTAGAATGTCATACATAACGAGCAGTAACCTCTAACCAAAGGTAAATATTTTCATAGCAAAATCTATGTTCACACTGCAGGGGGATAGAATACAAAGAGTTTTGGCGATCAAAATAGTTAAGTAAAAAATCGTTTGGGGCAGAGGGGGCTTTTGGATTTTGGAGTTGCAAACAAGGGATAATCCCAGCTTTGAAGGGTCCTGTGAAGATTAGGAATGGTACGGTGCTCCTCCGAGCCTAGTCCCTGGCGTGGTGGGTGCTTCATAAATGGCAGCATGGATAGCGATGCTGATAACAGGAGTTTTAATGCCACCATTGCCATCACTTCCTTCTTCAGGCCTGGCCGGCAGTCCTCTCTGACAGCAGGATTCCTGAGGGAGCCCTAGGCCTGGGTGGCAAAGGGGCACCATAGGCCCCCTTTGGATCTGCGGACCCGTCTGTCCCCAGAGTACCCTCTGAGTGGGATAGGAAGCTGAGAGGCAGAGGGGAGGACCTTGGAAGGTGATGCCTACATGATTGGTCCTCTGGCCAGGGACAGTTCCCTTCAAACTTCCCCATTTTGTGGACCCTTCTGAGGCCTCATGAGGTGTAGGAGGGAGGAGTCAAGTTTCACCACTGCTTCTCCCACCTGTTGCAAGCTCTTCTGGCTAGAAAGGGGGGGAGGGGGAGGGGGAAATGGGAGTAGAGCAGCCTAGAGGCCCTCCCTGCCGATGACCTCCTGGGACTCCCAAGGTCCCAGAACCTGCTGGGTTCCCCGCTCCATTCCTCCTGGGTTTTGCAGAACTTCGAGAACAGGAGGCTGCAGCTGCCCCAGCCCTGCCGGCCTGCTCTGAAGCAGGGAAATCAGTCCTGGCACACGGGAGTTGGCAGGGGTGTTTGGGCCTCCCGGGAAGGCTGTGAGGTGTACTGTCAGCCCCTGAGTAGAACCTATAAGTAGCCAGAGAGAGTCATGTGCCTGTTCCCTGGCTTGGCTGCCTTCCTCCGGCTCCCTGTCGCTCTCACTAGGGTGGAGTTGAGGGGCTGAGATGTGCCCTGAGCTGAAGTTCAGCCACCTGTCACCTGGGCCTGGGGCAGGGACCAGAGGGTGTGTGGGAGAACAGGGTCATCCTAGTGCTGAAGTAGTTAGGACTGTGAGAAGAAATAACCCCAGAATTTCCTTCCCCCCCCCCCAATAGGATAATTTAAAAA